GACACCAGACACAAAGGTGGGACACTTAGGTGGGAAAAAGAGAGAGAAAGAATTTTTTTACACACTCTCTCGCACGGAAAGAAGGGGGAGATCCCACACAAAAATATTTTGAGAGACCCCCCCTTTCCAATTTTTTTCTAAAATTTAAACCTGGGAGACACAATAAAACTCGGGGGGCTCTCCTCGCGCCCTCCCCCTGGGGGGTTTTGGGGGACCCGCAGCAGAAGGGGGGGGGGGGGGGGGGGGGGCGTTCATCATAAATATAGCTTTTTGTCTTGTAGCCTTTTTTAAATTTAGTCCATTTAGAAAGACAGAAGGAAAAAGTAAAAGCAACAGACAAACAAACAACAAACAACAGTCACCATGACGACGGCAATATAACATTTTTGTTCCTTATTTCATCCTTAACGTATCTGTGTAAACTGAATGTGACAGGCTGGACACACCTTTCTTTACCTCTCCATGCGTCCACAGGCACACATTGCAATGACTTGTGGGTAGTTTCCTCGGGCGAGGTCAGCGTCTAATGCCGATTCATGGAAAGAGCTCAGACAAAGCTTAACGCACCTTAGACAGAGGAACTGAACTCATGGGAGCGCCTCAAATCCCAGAGTCCGTCGGGGCGGAGGCTGGGATCGGGCCTCCATGGGGGTGGGGAGGCTGGGATTGGGCCTCTGTCAAGAGGAGGCTGGGATCGGGCCTCCGTCGGGGCGGAGGCTGGGATCGGGCCTCTGTCAAGGTGGAGGCTGTATCGGGCCTCCGTCGGGGCGGAGGCCGGGATCGGGCCTCTGTCAAGGTGGAGGCTGGGATCGGGCCTCCGTCGGGGCGGAGGCTGGGATCGGGCCTCCGTCGGGGCGGAGGCTGGGATCGGGCCTCCGTCGGGGCAGAGGCTGGGATCGGGCCTCCGTCAGGGTGGAGGTCGAGCACAATTCAGTTAATCCCGCATTGAGCACCATCAGACCTCGACAGCTTTAAAACAGTTGAACGCGTTGTTGCCTCCTTGCTCGTGAAGGAGTGAATGCAGCGCCCCCTGAGCAGAGTGACGCGACCCGCGCGGGTTCACCCCGCAACATGCTAATATGCTAACACCACATTTCCGACGGTTGGCGGGCGCGGCGGGACAAAGGAGGCCGAGTGGACATGTTTAACTGGGACGTAGAGAGCGGGTCGACTGGTTAAACTGGTTTAGGACTTTCCGCTGCCAGTTCTTAGATCACAGATTAATTCCCAGAAAAATATGGCCGACATCTTCTGTCCGTCAACTTTGAGGCCTGTGAAACGAGCGGCTGTCAATGTGTGCGTGCGTTGTGTATGCACATCCTGAGACAAAGATTTAAGAGCTGCCCTGTGTGTGTGTGTGTGTGTGTGTGTGTGTGTGTGTGTGTGTGTGGCAGACTGGTGTTAGCATACCAAAGCCTTGTGTTTCCATTAAGATGTGGCTGCTCCAGTCAGGCCTCTGTGCCTCTGCCAAGCCTCACACACACACACACACACACACACACACACACACACACACACACACACAGTATGGGGGGGGGGGCAGTGGTATTTTCATTGAGGATGAACAGAGGTTCACAGAGGAAGTGTGGGATTACATCTACACTCGTAGGTATGTTCCACGCCACCGTGGAGATTAATGTACGATTAGGAAACACACGTCGTCATGGTGACGCCGACAGTCTGTTGACTGGTGTTTTAACACCGTGAGACATTTTTAGTTGTCGCCATATTTTTGGTCAACAGGAAGTGACACTATCTGGTCTGAGGAGGAGTCGCGTAGGTGATGCTGTACTTCTCTGGCAGAGACCTGTCAATCGGCGTGTGGCCCCGCCCTAAAGCATCCCCTCCTTTATAGTCTGTTTGATTCTAAATGGACCATCATCTTCTAAATGAACATCATGCTGTATTGAAGAAGACTTGAGACTGAGACCATAAACCCGTTTACAATGTTTACTGAGGGAATAAACCAAGAGAGTAATTTTCTCATAGACTTCTATGGGACCAGAGGAGTCGCCCTCTGGTGGCCATTAGGGACAATGCAGCTATATCACACTTCTCCATTGGCTTCTCTCTTAAGAACATACTTTCAGAATATAGAATATATTGACGGATCAACACTAGAAAGGAATAACATGCCCTCCGTTGTGTGAAAGCTTTTTTATTCAGGACATTTTGGCCAGAAGCCGCCGACCCAGAAACAAACCCACCGAGAGAAGACGCTGCCGAAACAGAGGACGGGACCGGGCTGCTGAATCTTTCACAAGTTTCATTTTATTGGTGTACTTTGACAAGAACAATGATGGTATAAAAGAAAAATCTCCATCATACAAATTTCAATAATCAAAAGATAATATGCCGATACACAAACAGACCACGTAAGGCTGACATCAAGCTCCGACCAGTGGCTTCAAATGGCTTCAGTTCAAGGAGAGCGACTCCTTACAATCAGAGAAGATGTACACTTTAAATTTAGCATCCTTGTTAAGTTAGCTTCCATACAAAAGAATGAACTGGTGTGGTTTATTAAGAGCAAACTTCGTCGCCATTTTTTTTTTTTTGGGGGGGGGGGGCATGTTTCATTGCATTGTAAGCAGATGGCATGTTTCACCCTCTTTGTGGAGGGGGGTGGGGGGGTAAATATATATTTTCATTTTACAAAAGAGTCGGCGTGGGCGAGGGGGGGGGTTGATGTAAAAACGGTGATGTCGCTGCGTTAGCTTCATTAGCGATGAGCCTCCTTCACGCGAGCCTCCGTAGTGATTTAAGACCTTTATAGAATTTCTAAAACACTACACACAACAATATGTACAACGATCGGTTTATTGATACACACTTTATTTTCAATTTAAAGTTTTTGCTTTGTAAAAAAAAAAAAAAAAAAAAAAAAGAACAAAAAAAGAAACTTTGAGTGGAAAAAAACCTCAATAAATTAAGAAGCTTTAAGGCCGCCAGTCTTGTCAGGTGCCCAAAGAAGGGTCCCTTCATTTAAACTGGTACAGAACAGATGGGGGGGGGTAGTGAAGCCTTTTAGTGAGCAGCAGGCTCTGTCTGGATGCGGGACCATGTTATGATTATATATACATATATATATATATATATATATATGTATATATGTATATACAATCAACATGACACACTTCCTGTACCTTTAGAGACATGTGACAGGAAGCCGCCTCGTCGATTGGTGGTTAATTGGCTCGCTCCACATCGCCCACGGAGCCTAATACTGACTTAGAGGTCAGAGGTCAGGGTCTTCACCTCGCTTAAAAACAAACAAACTAAAGCTTCTTTCTTTTGCTGCACGTCCATCTAGTTTTTATGACAAACAAAGAACACGTGAACCAAAGTCGTTGTCATGTGACTGATGGGAGACAGAAAGGGGGAAAAAAATAAAATTATTAAACACCTCAAAATGTAGACCTTTTTTTTGCCATTTCACTCGAACACACGAGGAAAAGGGAACTTAACACAAATGCTGCCAGCGTCCACGCGTTCCACCGGGGAGCAGGAAGTACACAAACCAGCCTGGGGGGGGGGGGGGGGGGGGCGCAGAGGGGGGGCTTGTCTATTCTCATAATGTTGGAATCGGCACGCAGCGAGGCTCTGGAGAGGTCAGCACCATTGATTAGCAATTATAAATGGGGGGGGGGGGGGCCCCGGTGGAAGACGCAGACCGATGGCCGATTCCGTCTCGCCCTCGCCGTGTTCGTCACACAAAATCTGTGTTGGCACGCAGAGAGAACTGCCCCCCCCCCCCTCCAATCACACAGGCCCCAACCCCACATAATAATACACACAACTACAAGTTCAGTGCATCTAACACAGTCTGTCACTAAACGAGGTAAAATCACAGAAATAATCCGTTAAAAGGTTGAATAAATAAAGCGAGGTCCAGCCTCTTTACTTCCTGTTTCATTTCCCACAGAACAAACGCACACCAAGGCGATCTCGAGTGAAATGGAAGTAGCTGCAGTGACTAGACGACAGTGCTCGTTTTCTGGAAGGGTGAAGAGGGGGGGGGGGGGGTGGGGCTGCTGTGCACTGCTCAAGGGCCGGGTCGGTACACTGGCTCGCAACAGGAAATTCTACCGACGCGGAGCTTTTATTCATGTGTATATTTATGCTAACGAAGCGCATCAGTGACCTTCACGTCTGTTTTTCCTTTTCCACGTCGAGATCAAGAAGCTTGTCAGTTTAAAAATAAAACAAAGGCAGCGTTAGATGAGAGACTCATGGGGGGGGGGGGGGAGGGGGGGGGGGGGCGCCGGCTGACACGGTTACAAACACCAACAACAACAACAACAAAGCAAAAGCTTCTGTAAACACAAGTGACAGCAGCCAAGTATACAAAACGTGATTTTAAACGTGGGATCTAAGAGCGCGCGAGTCGGGACCTGCACGCCGATCTGAAGCCTCCTGGAGGTCACGCCGACGACCTCACTGACATCAGCCGTTTGCATAGCTCTCCCTCACGTGTGTGCGCACAGACACACACACACACACACACACACACACACGCGCGCGCACTGAAGAGGGCGCTGCGTTTGCGTAGGCAAAGCTGTGTCGATGGTGAGGTTTGCATACGCTGAGGCTCCTCCTCCTCCTTCTTCTTCTGTGGTCCAATGAGGGCGCGCTAGCACCTGTTGCCTCCGCGCCGTCCGAGGTTCCAGCTTATTGCTAACGGGGCGACACAAACCGCCCCGCCTCCCTTTGAGGGGGGGGGGCGGCGTTCGCGGGGCAGAGCGTGGCGAGGAGGAGGCGGCGGTGTCGACCTCACATCCTTGCATTTATCCTCTTTGCTTCCTCCGGCTCGTTTTTTCCGCGTAGATTTTAGAAAAACTCCGGCAGGACCAGCTGCGAGAGTCCGCTCGGCTGAGGGGTGTGTGTGTGTGTGTGTGTGTGTGTGTGTGTGTGTGTGTGTGTGTGTGTGTGTGTGTGTGTGTGTGTGTGTGTGTGTGTGTGTGCGCGCGAATGTTCTCACATGCTCTTTTTTTATTTTACTGCATTTATGAAGGAAAAAAAAAAAAGGTGCAAGAGCAAAAAAAAAAAAAGCCTTGGGGACCAGGTCAGCACATGTGAGTCAAACGTGTGTGTGTGTGTGTGTGTGTGTGTGTGCGCGTGGGAGTGAGCTTTGACTGGATAACAAGTGGAATGGATGCTGAAGGCCAAAATGGTGCAAAAGGCATGTGGAGACTAGACAGGCGTGGGAGGGTGGGGAGGGTGGGGGGAGGTGGGGGGGAGGGGAGGGTGGGGGTCCGTGTGGCTCAAGCGAGTGCAGCCTCCCTCCTCCATCAGACACACTTCTTTCAGTCTCTTTTTTTGCATACAAAAACAAAAGAGACGGAGCAACGAATCGATCAACTTAAAAGGTCCTCAGCGGTGCAGCAGCCGGTGAGATATGGCTGAAGTCCCGGAGGACTCTGGGTCCCGGGGGGGGGAGCGAGGGGGGGGAGGGAGGGGGGTTCAGTAGTCGGCAATGGGCGCCAGCTCCTTGTTCAGGCGCACCGTGATGTTGGTGTAGAGAGGCCTCCTGGACACCAGGGGGGAGTAGTTCAGGTTGTTGAGGCCGTCCACTCGCTGGCGCTCCTTCGAGTGGCGCAGGAGGACGTACCTGCATGAACAAGAAGGGGGGGGGGGGAGGGGGGGGTCAGACAGCAGGGGTCTGGATACACGGTGAAACATGAAGTTTGATGTTTTGGGTTGGAGACGGTTCCAAGATGGCCGACGGACTGTTACCCCTTTTTTTTTTTTCTTTCCTAATAAAGAAGATAAAATGCTGAGTTATGTTTGATAAAGAAGATAAAATGCTGAGTTATGTTTAATAAAGAAGATAAAATGCTGAGTTATGTTTAATAAAGAAGATAAAATGCTGAGTTATGTTTAATAAAGAAGATAAAATGCTGAGTTATGTTTGATAAAGAAGATAAAATGCTAAGTTATGTTTGATAAAGAAGATAAAATGCTGAGTTATGTTTAATAAAGAAGATAAAATGCTGAGTTATGTTTGATAAAGAAGATAAAATGCTGCGTTATGTTTGATAAAGAAGATAAAATACTGAGTTATGTTTGATAAAGAAGATAAAATACTGAGTTATGTTTAATAAAGAAGATAAAATGCTGAGTTATGTTTAATAAAGAAGATAAAATGCTGAGTTATGTTTAATAAAGAAGATAAAATGCTGAGTTATGTTTAATAAAGAAGATAAAATACTGAGTTATGTTTGATAAAGAAGATAAAATACTGAGTTATGTTTAATAAAGAAGATAAAATACTGAGTTATGTTTGATAAAGAAGATAAAATACTGAGTTATGTTTGATAAAGAAGATAAAATACTGAGTTATGTTTAATAAAGAAGATAAAATACTGAGTTATGTTTAATAAAGAACATGTGGTTCAGATGAAAAGTGACAGTTACGGCTCATTTGCTTCCATGAAATCCATTAAATGGAAGATTAAACGGCGTATTTAGGATGAATTACTCGTAGTACTCCTCAACCCATGAAAGCTCCCTCGGGCGCTTGTGGGCGAGCGCACAAAGCGCCTGATTGGAATTCAGCTACAAAGCAAACAAGCAAATCACATGCAAAGTCTTTACAATGAAATCCTCCCCAAGTCACTACTCTGGCTCTTCATGTGACCGGCTCCACACCACATGAGCCCTAAGCCCCTCTCAGGGCCCTGCGTGTGCGTGTGTGTGTGCGTGTGTGTGCGTCTGCGTGTGCCACTCGCCTCCCCAGGAACTGGACCTCCCCGCGGTGGTGGTGCGAGATGGACATGTAGCGGCCCTGCTCTCCGGGAGGTCTACTTACGGAGTAGTTGGCGAGCCGCACCCTGCACAGAAGGCACACAATGCTCCTTAATGCTCATTGTGCGGTTGTTGACAAATGCCGCTCATACAAGGAAATGATGACATGTTGGAACCAGAAAAAAACACCCTCCCGGTCAGGAAGCCTTTTCCATTCACGTCTGTCCAAAACGACGTTTCATCCCGTTGGATGTTTGTGCGCTACTCTCATAACCATCACCGGATTGATCGAGTCGCCAGTGAAATACGTTTCACCACCACATTTTAACCTTTATCCCAAACCAACGTGTGCGCTACGTGTAGATACATCTCCTAGAGGCAGTGGCGGTAAAGGGGTCACCGTGACCTTTCACTTCTACTCGGTTCACCCCACAGAGGGTTAGTGGGACGCAGTGATCTAAATGAGCGTCATGTCGTATGGAGGAGGACATGAAACTAGATATGGAGCCCATATATTCATGTTTACAGCAACAAATGGCGTTGATGTGGCGGCATAGCGGTCGTTAACTTTGTGTATACTGAGACCACCCCCCTAAGACCTGTGTAAGGGGGGGGGGGGCAGGACAACATTGCTGTTTAGCAAAGGCAAATAGAGAAATCAAACACTAATTCAAAAGCTGAAGTGATCCAACTGATCTCCAGAGCACGCCTAACGTCAACAACACCAAGCCGTGTGTGTGTGTGTGTGTGTGTGTGTGTGTGCGCTCACCTGTTCCAGAGGTCATCGTCCTCCCCTCCCCAGCCCCAGAATGCATTTGGAAATCCATTAATCTTTTCGAACTGCTTCACCGTGAGGCCACTGACTCCGCCGAAGAACTCATTATACGGAAGCCTTGGGGGGACAATCACACGCATTAAACCGGTGTTGGGCGGGTGGGGGAGGGGGGGGGATTATTTCACGGCGGGGACGGGAGCGGAGGACTCACATGTAGGAGTACTTGTCCAGTTGGACCGCAAAGTGGCGGGGCATTCCCGAGCAGCCGTAGTAGTTCCTGTCGTTCTCCATGAGGTGGTCCACGTCGTGGAAGACCAGGCAGTCCCAGTCCAGGTCCTTCATAGCCTCCTTAAAGCCCACGTTGAACAACATGGCGCGGTTGAATGGCTCCGTGCCCCCCTTTTTTTTTTTTTTTTTAATGAAAAAAATTGTGTGATAAAGATTTGTAAGCTTATTTCATATAAGACAGCAATTTGGCCTCAGAGGGCTTGACGACACCCCAGGGACGCCATTTGTCCCGTGCATACCTGCTCTATGAGATAAAAGGCAAACTGGAGTCTCTGTCTCTTCAGCACCGGCACCAGGTGCCTCAGCAGGATGGGCAAGTGCTCGTGGCGGTTCCTGAACGGGACCAGGATCGCCACCTGAGGGACCCAAGAACGGCCGAGTCAAAGGAAGGACTCACAAAGGATCCACAACATGTTCACAACGAGTGAGTGTTTCTGGTGAATTATCAGCGTTAAGATCTGATTTCTACAGTGATGTGAACAACGATGGTGCTAAATGTCCGTAAAAGGTGCCCCCCCCCCCCCCGATTAAAAGCAAGGGAAATGGGAAACAATGTAAGGCTGAGAGGGAAGCTGTAAAGGTAGATGAGCGAGATATTTCTGTGTCATACGAAGGGGAGGGGGGGGGTAGAGGGGGAGGGAGCTATTTGGCTGTCAGAATATTCACGGCCCCTCGGGTCAAATGAAAGAGAGACGGACACACAGATGGCGGCCGAGATGCTCCGTGATGAGAAAAGGGAGGAGGCGAGTTCAGGAAGAGTTGAACTCGTGGTCCTTCTGCTTCGTTTTAAAGACACCTACGTCAGCTAGGCTAAGCCTAGCCTAGCCTAGCACGGCCAGCCAGAATGCTATCTGGTCTCAGAAAGTCTTTCCTGCTTTTCCTCGTGCCTAGCTGTCCGCCACACGGCTTGGTAATTCCAGCGTGCGCTCGCTAGCTGAAGAAAGCGGGCCACACGCGGGGGGGGGGGGCCCCTAGCAGAAGGCCGAGCTGATCTCATTGGCGTCGGCCTTGTTTTGCCTGCAGCCATCGGGGTGACAGAATCATGATGTTTTTACGTGTTTTTACGTAAACACTCCGGTCGCCTCCACACTTACCTCCCAGCGGAGTAGACAGTCTGGGAGCTTCACAGTGCCTCCTGAGAGTCCCGGTTGGCTCCCCTCCCAGCAGGGATCGCTCCACCTCCTCCAGAGAAACCTTCGCTCATGTCAACCCGCACCCTGCTCTCTGTGTGTGTGTGTGTGTGAAGAGGGGATGGTGGGGACAAAGCACTTTAAAGCCTGTATCAGCTCAGTTATCTGAGGGTGTAAATCAGTAAGTTAAGAGTTTCTTTTCCGGGTACAAAAGTGAAGTTATAAAGCTTTTCTCTCAACCATTTCACTGCTTCTTTAATACTAAAATATGCAAAAGAGAGCAACAGAAGTTCACGTAGCGTTTTACACGGCCAGGAAAAACCCGAACGGCGGATGATTTACGTAAGGAAAAGGTCGACTGAGGTCACTGTGTGACGGAGCTTTAAATCCAAACTGAACTTACTCATGGAGAGCAGGCGCTCAGGGCACACCTGAGAGGGGAGGTAGGTGAAGCCCTCGGGCAGGTATGTGGGGGGAGGAGCATCACTCTCGCTCACATTGAACTCGTAGGCATAATCTGGAATCACACACACACACACACACACACACACACACGCCATCAGGAGGAAGGCTGCCTGGCCGGCTGCTTTGTGTCTTATTTCCTTTAGCGTTGCAACATTCACAATACCATCACCTACATATGAACATTTATCTGGTAAGACCTCAGCTCAGACCTCGTACATCATTTACTTACGATATTTAAAAGGAAAAAGTGAGTATCGTCAGGCTGGGTGAACTTATCATTACCTTATATCCAGTCTTAACAATGCGACAAATACAGAAGTTATGCAGATAACTACTTTACATACATGTGTGCACTTACAGCACCACAACGTAAGCACCTTATCTTTGCTCTCCACGCAGATGTTTTACCTGTGCCGTTGGCGCTGTACGCTCCTCTCACCACCTGCTCCAGAACCTGAGCCCCGATGTTCTTCACGTTCTCCCGGATCTGGATCCCTCGAGCTTGGACCATGAACACATACTCGTTCACTGTGCACAGAGGGAGGGAAGCACACCGTGATGTTCAGAAAAGGGGGGGGGGGGTTTCTACCCAGCAGAGTGACGGTGAAAGGCACCTCCTCGGTGCCGCTGGGTAACGCCGGTACGGGTGTTTGAGTGACAGCTGTGTGTGTGTGTGTGTGTGTCCCATTGGGCCGTGCTCATCCGGTTGCCGCGCAACTACAAACCAACGACTGGCTGCCTCTCCTCTTTGAGGAGGCCGATGTCTGAGGAGCTCCGTCACGCAGACGGTTGGTGCTTCCACCTGATCCGGTTAACGTGCATGGCGCCCTGATGAGGGGGGTTTACCTACGGCGCATCAAAGGGTTTCATTCTACAGAAAGCAACCATGAGAATGTTAATCTGTGGGGGAGGACGGGCGGAAAACTACAACTCACTTAAGAAGGAGAGAGAAACTGAGGTAATGAATTTGAAGCCGCCGGTTGGTTCCCACCTTCAGAGTGTAATAATTGCCGCGTTATTATTATTATTATGCCAGATAATATTAATATTAATGGTGCTTTAAGTGCCGCGCCGTGAGTCACGCGTTGTCATTTTGTGATGCATTTCTTTCTCAAACAAAAGCAAACAGGGGAGGCAAAGTTTCTGCATCCGCTTTCAGGCTTGTCTGAAGAAGCACCGCAGAGACCACAACCCCCCCCCGTCCTGACAGGGCGCCACGCTGACCAGCATCACAGGCCCGTCCACAGCGTGAGAACCTCACGGCAGAAACCCCCTCTGCACCGGGGTTTCAGTTGGAGGACTTTACCACGGGCCTAAAACAGACAGAGGACCTGTAAAGTGAAAAACGAGGTAGGTGGGGGGAGGGGACCCGACCCATGTCACCCGAACCCATGTGAGCTCGCCAGTTAACCGCTGCGTCGTGGCTTTGTGAATCCTCCTGCAGCATTAATCCAATCAGCATCCATCTCAGATACGACCCGCCTCCCGCGAGCAATACTGCTGAGGCCGGAAAACTCCGGGAATGTGATTTGTCGTTTGTAATTGTATTAGCGCTTCCATCACATCCGTCTTGATCTGTACAAACGGGCCGGCCCCCGCGGCGCTAACGGGCTAGCGGCTAAGCGTCAGCTGAAATTTAGCGGAGCGATAATAAAAAATAAAAAAACGGATTGCAGACTAGATTCAGAGTTCAGTTTTGCTTTGTCTCACACACACACACACACCGCACGCACACGTGTTTCCTCCTCGCGCCTCACGCATGGCGATAGCGGTACATATGTGCCGTGCACATATGTACCGCTCTCTGACGAGCAGAGTAAACCACAGCAGTCGTCTCCGTCGCATCTTATTTGGGTTCATGGGACACAAAGGCCTCCGGAGACCAGAGCGACGGTTGGTCTGAACGCTGTGAGGCCGGGGGGGGGATCGGGGTCAGTGGTCGGGGAGGGGGGGGGCGTCTACAGGAAGCAAACGCGGCAAACGGCCCTTCTGTGCACGTGTGGCGCACCGCACGCCGAGGCCTTTCGTAGGAGGTGGATACTGTGACTCCTGCAGCACATTGCACTGCGCCCGGGGGTAGAAGAGGAAACACGCCTCTGAAAGGCAATTAACGGCCACTGATAGCTCAGCAGTAAAGGCGATCGACCCGTTCTGCTGGCTCCCTGATAACAGCTGAAAGGCTGGTTCCACCCCGTGCAGCCGCACAAACACTTCCTTCCCAGCAGAAATGGTTTCTTTTGCATTCCATCGCTCTCAAATTGTCACTTTCAAACGTGAAAGGAAGGGTGAGGGAAGGGCATTTTCAAACAAAACACCTAAACACACGACAAATACCCACCTGCTTCGACACGGCCGACAGTAAATATTTGACTCTGCGATTAGATGCAGTTGAGATCGTGCGGGATATTGGTCAAATTGTCCTGGTTACTTATTTACGGCCGACGTCGGCCTCCGGCTGCGGCAGGCGATTGGGCTCTTTAGCCTCAGTTGACTCGTTTGTAGTGTTATTTTCGACCAAATTAGACAAAGCCGACGGTCCCCGTGTGTGTAGACAACGTTAACGTTTCCCATTGGTTCCCTTTCCAATGATAGAAGAGACGCGTTAACTCGATTTGTTAATAATATTGAATTGAACATTTTCTTTACATGATGAATCTTTATAAATAGCAAAGTCAGTGAGAAAAAATATATAACCTCGAGATGAATCGATCCTCGTTTTCCTCGTTCAGAATAATTTAATTTAATCAGAATTAAATCGTGAGGTTTCCAGAGAGTGTCGCCTCGAAGTATTACCCCTAAGGAATCGAAACTTGGATCTTCAAATTTTATTTTTTTAATTTAGAAATGTATTTTCACTTCAATGCACTAGTTTAGCAAGTTAACGTTAGCTACTGTCCATAACAATATTTTTTTTATTCAATAAATGAACCTCATGGATGTTGTAAGAGTGTCCTGGTCCACCTCACTGACCTGCCACGCATAAAACGGTGAATTTTTCTGACTGAAAAAGCGATTCCAATGTTAAAAAGCACACGTGTGACGGTCGAGCTAAATTAGATTTGCTTAGTTCCCATGTCACAAAATAGAAGCAGTACACGGTCGCTCTCAGCTCACTCTGGTTTTAATGATCCGTGTTGGTTTTGTTTGGCCGAGGGGATGTGGACGTGCACTCCAAAAAAAAACTGGGTTGGCCGTCTAATTTACTTGATTGCAAAATGCATTAAATGCATTAAATGCAGTGAGCACAGACGAGAGGGACAATATCAGTTTAGTGGTAGTTCTGGTCCCGTGGCGCTCAGTCATAACCGGATCACGAGGTTGCACACACACACCATTTACTGCACCGGGGATGACGTCAGCACTTACAGAGGCCCCCCCCCCCCCACTTCCCCTTGAATGGGCGCTTCCACTCCTTCATTCGTCTGTCCCCTAAACCTTGTCCCCCCGTGGGGGGGAAGCGCCTTGTGTCCACAGAGAAAAGGATGACCGCCTCCAGGCGTCCGGGTCCTTTTCCCCTCATGGAACTGATTTAAACACGCACGACTCGTCTGTGGCTCACGGTGTTCAGCGCGGCGGGCCGATATTTCACATACGAGAGCGGTTACGTAATCTAGAGGCCACGTTTTTCAACCGTTACATCGAATCCTCCACGTCAGCGGGATTGAAATGGTTGTCGATGCTCTGAAATCCTAGAAAACGGAGGAAATGTCATCAAAAGTTTTAAATACTCGGATACCATTTTTCCCCCGAGTCTACAAGCGCTCGTTTCCCACTATTCACCAAAAGCACCGGCGGAGGGTAACCGGGCCGGAACCGGGTTTGAGTTTAACACGTAAAGAGCACGTGGGCCGCACGTCGTCTCAGCATCTGCGTCCTCTTTTACATCTGCTCCACTCAATAACAACGCACATCCAGCGGTCCGAGCTCCATGCTTCATCCTCACGGTCGTCAGAGTAATAAAGTTAATTTTATTACGCCAGAAAAGGTCCAAACTCTGTTTGAATTATTTACTAGAACCAGTGTTGCGTGGAAGCTCAACGGAATCAGGCCCCGTGTTTGCCGCTGCAGAGTTAACAGCCTGCTCTTCATGCAGTTTCCTGCTCCCCGAACTCCTTAAGAAGCCCGGCGGCTGCAAATCAATGACACCGGTCGATTCATTAACCTCGAGCCGGAGCAAACGCAGCTCTGCCGTCTCCGCCGATGAACACGCGTCACCGCGAGGAGTGCGCGCCGACACGCCGGAATACCTCGGGTAGGGGAGGGAGGAGGGAGAGCGGAGCGGATAACGTCCCTTTATGTCGTGAGCACCGGAGATGAGGAACCGAGCCCAAAGCGGCGAGCTGAGGCCCGAGGTGACAATGTCACACTCTGACACGGAGGAAGAAGTGCACTCGCCACTCGTCTGTCCCCGCGTGTGTGTGTGTGTGTGTGTGTGTGTGCACGGTCGGTGCACGTGTGACCCTCCCTGAGTCACCGTGTCTGGCGAGCCCACGACACGTCCAGAAAAACACCGGGACCAGACGCGGTTACGTAAGCGACCCGTCGGTGCCAGGACCCCCTCGTCTTCATCGGAAACAAACTGATCCCAGAGAGGGAGAAAGTGAGCGATAAAGAGCGGGGCGGCGTCTGTGAGACGGGCGGCGCCATCGCCTATGTCTCTGTCCCACTGCGTCCCGTGGACGGATGAGAGAAGACGGGCGATGACTCGTTCGTTGGTCGGAAGCGGGGACGTCGTGCATAGATGGAGCGTGAGGAAGAAGGTTTGAGCGGGATGAGTTGAGGAGGACGGAGACAAAGATCCGTTTGATATGGACCTCGTTTTCCCGCCAAAAGCAGCCAATGCGTCTCGTGTCTTAAAGCTGCATTCTCCCTAGTGACCATCAGGGGGAGCATCGTCCTATCCGATCTACTGCTCTAATTATCTCTCAGTAAACAACAACAACAACAACAACAGTTTATGGACTCAGTCTCTAGTTTCAAGTCTTCTTCAATACAGCGTGATGTTCATTTAGTAAATGGACGACAACAAAAAAAAAAGACGGAGATGTCTTCGTTGTGTCCCGGTTTTCTTGAAGCGTGATTAATCGGCACAAAGGCTCCTCAGAGCCGTAGAGTCTCCTGGTCCGGTTGGGTGGTTCTCGAGCAGCTGCAGCGCGTGGACTCATCTCGGTGTCCTCATGTCCCGCCGCAGCAATTAAAAATAATAATAACTCTAAACCCGTCTCTTGACAAAGAACCTGTTTGCTCATCCTTCCGCCCCGCCTTCTTGACACAATCTCGGATTCCCAGTCCGGGGAGTATAGCCTCTCAAATGCACACCTGTGCATGTGTGATCACGTAGGAGTCGGTGGTCCGGTGTGAGCCGCCCCCCCCCCGCCCCGCTCTGCCAACAGGCTCCTGTTTTTACATCTGGCAGCCGTCTAGAACATTCTTGTGTTATTATTTTGAGGCCTAGAGAGAACAGACGGTACGCACAGAAAATAATGACACCCCCGCCTCCCTTACACACACCAAGTTGAGTTCACACT